GAGGCGCCTTCCCTGTGTGCCCTCCCTGTCGGCAGCGCTCTCGGTCGCTGGTGTTCCCTCCAGCTGCCTTTTGTGGGAGTGGGGGGTGGCCGCTGAGGTAAAAATCCCCCGTACCTTTGTAAAATCCCCCGTACCTTTGTAAAATCCCCCGTACCTTTCTGTGTGGCCCTGGGGAGCTCGGCTGGAAGTCCAGGGCCAGGTAATCCACACTGCCCGAACTTTTTTTAGGCGCTGGGCTGTTGGTGCCACTAGGAACAGGAGAAGCAGAAATGGGGTTTTGCTAATGCAGGGAAGAGACAGGAGAAATAATGAGGATTAACATGGGAAGAAAAAAAAAAAAGGAATTAACACAAATCTGACAACAAAATGCCTCGGTGGCACTTTTAAAAGATATCCCAGCCTGGATATTTGCTCACCTGCCTCTGGGACCAGGGTGTGCAGAGCTGCTGGAGGACTATATATATATATATAGTATATTCTGCTAACAAATATTTCAAGCTCATGCTCTTGATTTGATGTATTGAAGCAGTTCTGCTGTCTCTGTGCTGATTTTATTCACATCCCTGACATCAGACATGGGCTTCAGCATTCCCCAGGAACCACACCTCATTGAGGCCAGACCGCTCTGGGATCTTCACTAATCACAACCATGCTACACCGAGCACAGATATCTTCTACCCCCTTAGTTACATAGCCCCAAAAATATGCTTCAAGTCAGCAGCTTCACGAAGAGCAACAAAATCCCTCCTCGTAAGCAGTGACACTCCCTGCTGTTGCTCCGATAGCCCCTGCCCTCCACACTAACATGATGTCAGCAGCTGTTAGGGGAAAAAAACCCTGAAAAAAATCAACTTCAATTAGGAGTAAATGCTCTGACAGTTCATAGACGTTTTTATCCCCTCTTAATTTCTGGCAAAGTAGGTGATACATGTTCCTGCTCTCATATACAGTTAGAACCCCAAGGGAAATGTCATTTTAGGGATGAAAGCCACTGTTTCGTGCATGTAGGGATGTACATAAGGACGTGCACCACGTAGCGCTATCTGAGCGCTCCCATGTCATGAGCTAGGAATGTGTTTGCAGAGCTGAGGAACGTGTGTGTCCCGCCAGGACCATATATATCTTAGCTGTGAGGTCCTTACCATTGCCACGTAGTTCTCCTCGCTGTCTCCTGAGTCAGTGCTGGTGATGCTCTGGGAGGAGACAGGGCGACAGTATTGCAAAGAGCCGGCGTTGAAGGTCTGGCTGTGAGGACAAGGGTCAAAGCGTTAATGATGGTTGCAGGTGCTGCTTGTCCATTGCCAAAGAGGGATGGGAGAGAGCAGCACCTGATGCCTCCAAACATCACCATGCTCAGTTCTGGGGACTGGGCATGAAGAAGAGCTGGTGGCATTGAAGTTCTCCAACTTAGCCTTCCCATGGGTCAGAAATCACTGGGTCTTCTCATTTTTTCCTTTCTAGGACTTTTTAATAACACCTGGCTTGCTATGTACTCATAACTATCCTGCTATCAGCTACATAAATCAGGCTCCATGAACTCTTTTATCTCGCAGGAAATATTTATTTGTGGAGGATGCAGGGCCAGCCTTGGTGAAGCTTCTCACCTCCAGCCTCACTGCAGCTCCAGGATTTGTTTACCATGCAGGGCCCCATCCAAATTTTTTTCTGGAAAACAAAACCTCTGAGGCATCATCTTGCTTTCAATTGGCCAAATCTAATTAAACCGAATAACATAATGCAATCAGTATCTGGCATTAAAGCTCGCATCTTAAAAAGCTATTTGTTGCCTTGCAGTAAAGTCAGGGTCATATGATGAGCTGATAAGGGAAAAATCCATTAGCTTCTCCGGGGTCGGACGTCTTGTCAATCAAACTCCACTCGCTATTTCCCAGTGCAGTGATTTCAGCACACAGCGCTCATGCCCTGCAGTCAGTCTCCGCACAATCCAATTTATTAGAGGAGTCATAGCAGCCAAGCTTTGCTTCTGCCTTTCACTGGACAACATCAGAACACGAATTAGCAGCAGAACTGGAATTGTGTGAATCCTGTTATTTTTGGCCGGCAGACTTTGCTCTGAAGTGCTTTGGTTTCATTGTGCAGATTTCCTTCGGGCTAGGCTTTGCTTTCAAGACAATCAAAACACAGCTCGGTCAGACGCTGCGAGTGTCACACTGAGTTTTGAGACTATAGTGGATTTTTTGGGGGGGAGAGCTGGATGTGAAATCATGCCCTGCACCCCCAGCACGGCTGAGTCGGGATGCTCAGCTGGGTCGTGAGTTGCGGAGGACCACAGGTCCTGTGTCAGAGCCACAACTCTCCAGGAGTTGTCAGATCCCAGAAATAGGAAATGTCTTCAAGGGATCTTAATTAGCTGCTGGGCCACATACTGGTCTTTCATGTGAAATCCCAACCTAAAAGAATTTATCTTCCTGCCACCAGCTGTGTTGTGGGGAGTACGACTCTGGCTCTTATAACACTTGATTAAGCTTGTGAGGGGTCCAAGAGAGGAGTCCCTCTGCTTCGACAGCATCTGACCCAGCTCCTAAGTCTGGCCATGATGTGACCAAGGAAACCCCTGAGCCCCGAATCACCATGGTGTGGCAGGATATTTTAGGAAGGAATTACTCCATAAATGTCCCTCTTCCCAGGTAGCTCCTGCTGGTCCCTGATGGGGGTAGGGTGTTGGGCAAGGTGGACTTTCATCCCAGTGCAGATGTTTGCATGGATGACCCAGCTCTGCAGCTCCCGTTTCTAAAACTGACAAAGAACACAATGAAGGCTGAAGGGATCATCCAGCTTTTGGGGAAATTCAGGTCTGCATCCAAAGTCTGGGCTCACTTCAAGACAGCCCATGAGAAACGTGCTCCTTCAACAAAAAGAGATGGTGGGTCAGAGGAAACCTCTGCAGCGAGTGGAGCCAGAAGGGCAGCCGACATCCCCCTTACACTCAGCCAGAGATGTTTAATCCATGGCAGAGGTGATAGCGTGGCTACATGTGGACACCCGTGAGAGTGAGACCAGAGATCTGCTGTCAGAGCAAAGCAAGAATTCATACCCCAACCATTACTCACGTTGGCCTGGACCAGGATTTCGTGACTGGTGATTTGAAGGGAAGCTCATCGATGACAGTGTTGTTCCTCAGGTCCAGTGGCGATGGCTTTGCTGGGGAGGAGAAAAGCTTTTATTCAGAGGCAGCACATTCCTACAATTCAGTGTCCATGACTGGCATGAAGGGGTGCCCAACAAATTGTTGGTTGCTTCCCATTCTGCTAATCAACCCCCTCAGCCCTCCTTGCCGATGACAAATACCCCCAACCAAAATCCCTGTGCTCAGTTTTGCCAGGACTGGGGGAAAACAGTGAATTTGTCCCTCTGACTCACAGCCCCAAAGTGGATGCGTGGCCCCAAAAGGGGAAAATGCCTCCCAGAGAATGGAGATCTGCTAAAAATGCCCAAACCTCAGAGTATAATAAATCCTTTCATTAAGGTGCTGTGATAACTCATTAGATGACCAGGCTCTGCCAGCCCTGAGCTGTCTCCAGCCAGAGCATTTCCTCATAGGGAATGGGAAAAGACATCTGCAGGGTAACATGAAGGCTCTTCTCATCATGGATGGTTCATTAGGTGGAAGAGAAGAGTTCCAGCCCCAGGCCTCGCATAGCGTGTTGATGGGATTAGGTGTTGACATCCTAATGATGGGAGCGCACCTCCTCAGCATCTCCTTGGTGACCTGTTAGGCAATGGTTTGGGGAAGGATTTGGAGGATGGAGGCAAAGCCCTGAAGGAAGAACTGCCTAGTCCCAGCCAGTAGCAAACAGTAGGAGAAATCTGGGTGACCCGAACACAACACAGAGATTTTGGGGTGGAGCATAGAGAGGGGTGCAAGCAAAGGGGGTGAGATCCTGCCTGTGACGTGCATCTCCTGTAAAGACCAGGAAAGGTTTGAGATGGGCTATTCAAGCACCATGAAAACTGCATTTGCCCCATAGTCCTCCTGAAAGAGGAAGAGGATGGGGAAGATCTGAAAGTCTGACTCTGCTGAAGGTAGCAAAGCAGACCCCACACAGAACTCTACTGGCTGTGCATAAAACAATAGATGTAGTCTGAAATATTAGAAGAATAGAAGGGTTCCTGGAAAGATTTGCCCAGAAGCCACTGTTCTTACCTTTCCGGTCGGGTTTGAGGTTGCGGTTAACTGGTGGTGGCTGGATTTCACTCAATCGTCTGTGGCACTGTGCCATGGCCCCTCCTTTATGCATGGGGAGGGTGGCTGAGGACAACCCCACCAGGTCAAAGTGATGTGGCCCAGGACTCATGGGGATGTAGAGATTTTGGGCATTGTCGTTGGCTTTCTCGGCGTGGATCAGGGGCGAGGAACCGGGATTCATGGGGACGTAGTTGTCCTCGGAGTCAGTGCTGTGGGAGCGGGCCACTGCTGCCTTGGCTTGCTGAGGGACAAGTGGGAGGACGTGCTGTGAGCATCAGACACTGCTCAACGCCATCCCACTATAAACCCCTTAATCTCCTCATTACCGAACACACACCTGAGGTGGGACCAGATCTAAAATCTCAGCACAGAGGGAAGGAATGATCTGTCCCCTCCTTGGCCATCAGTTTGCACTGAGAGGGTCTACCTCCACTGTTTCCAAGACATTGCAACATCCTGAGTTCAGGGAAAGGTCTTAATAACCCAGACTTGAGCCTCTTCTCGTCATCAGAGTGAGCTGCAGAAACAAGCTTAACCTGGAAAGTCATTTTTCCCTGAGCTCTGGCCATGACTAAAATGTGATATGAAAGGCTGCTTTAATGTCATTTCCAGCTCAGGAAATCTTAGAAAGTGCACAAAAGAGGCTGTTCTGGCAACATATCAAAATTCAGCTCAGCAGCATCCCAAGCTTTCAGGAAGAAACCAAACTCCTGGGTGCTTTTTTGGAGTCAGTGCTCCAGGCAGATACACTCTGTGGAAGCACCCAAAGCAAAGCTCTGCATGTGGTGCTGGGTTAGGTGGTTCTCCCTCCACCTCTACCCTGCAAGCCACCATGATTTTAACTGAAATCAGTAATAAAACCCTTCTTGACTTAGCTCTGCAGGACTGAGCTGTGAGGTCCAACCTGGCACCGATTTGTCTCTGAATCTATAAGGTACAAACAGTGCCTATAGTGTGGTGGCTAACACCAAGGCCAACTCACCAGGTAGGAGTTGTATCCGTCGTTCATCGACTCGACTGACTGCACAGTGCTGCTGCCCCCGTGCTGGGGGTATTCGTACGTCTCGCAAGAAGAAGCTGCAACACAATGACAAATGCACAACGTGTCCCAGCAAAACTGCTAATAAAAGGGGCCCTGAAAACAAAATCCTGGTTCTGGGAGGGCAATATATATTCTTGATGATTGAGACAGTGGTGGGAAGACACCGTTTTTAGCCTGTCACAGACTCCCTGCTATGCTCCCTCCCAATTAGCATCTCTCTGATGCATCAACACAACTGCACGTGCCATGTGGACCTAACCTGGTTCTGTCAAAGTGCTGCAAAATCCCGGGGGTAAAGATGTCAGATAAGGTAGATCACGGTGACAAAACTGGGTTAAGAGAGAGCTTGGTTACAGCTTGCTCAGCAGATGTAAGGGCTGGCATCCTCCGGTAAGGGGAGGATGGGGGGAGAATGGGGTGCTAAGCTCTTAGACTGGACTGTCTATTGCTGAGCACGGGGTTGGTCTCAGCCTAAATGTTGGTATTTAGGTAGAAGAAGGTGGAAGAAACATTTCAGGGAGCTGTGTCTATCATTTACAGTATGTTTTCTCTCCAACCACCTCTTCCAAGTTACTTTGCAACTATCTCATCCACAGGGTTTGGAAAGGGCACATTCATCCATGGCCCATCCACGGCCAATGGGAAGGGCGGCTCTGGTGCACTGGGGATGTTGGGTCTTGGAGATGTGCAAGATTACGTCCCTGTCTGGTGAGCAAAACCAAGGCAGCTCCAGGCTGAAGTACGTTCTGATAAACCTGGATATGAATTGAAGAAAAAGCAAGCTAAAAATGGCTGAAATCACCAAAATCTGGTGAAGGGCTGCACGGGCAAGCAAGTTTGGGGTTTTGGTTCAAGGCACAACACAGCCAAGAGCCAGCTGAGCAGCTCTGGTGGGCAGAGCCCTGGGGATGCCTCTCCATGCCTGTTGCATAGAAAAAACAGGGCCAGATCCTGACCGGGGAGAGCTTCTTTGCGTTCAACCCCCTGGTTGATGTCAACAGCCACCCCAGCCCTACTGCAACCCAGTGGGACTGACCTGTCCAAGGCTACTAGATAGGACAAAGCCACCCCCAGCTTCCCACCCCCAAATTCACCTCGGTGCAGCCTGCTGTTCTCCACGGCTGGCAGCGTGTTTCTCCGAGGAATGGTGGCTGCCATGGGGGCCAACCCTAAGCTTTCGCTGGGCTGGGGCCGCTGGGGTGGGCTGCCCCACCGTGGCTCCATCTGCCCTGGTTTTGGGGGCCGTGGGGGTGGCACAGCAGGTGAGTCGCTGGCTGCCACGGCCAGGGCATTGTGGTTCTTGTCCAGTGTAAATGTCCTGGGGATCTGGTAGACGGAGAGCAGCGTGGCAGGGATGTCATAGGAGTCCGTAGAGAGCTCCCCAAACTCCTTGCATAGGGTGTTGTTGGGAGTCTTGTAGGTGTAGACCTCTTCGTTATCTGTTTCAGAGCTGGTCAGGCTCGACTTGGGGTGGGTGTAGGAACCGAAGGCGCGTGGCAGGTCGTACGCACTGTCCCTGAACTCTGAGTTGTCCCGGCTGGGTTTGGGCAGGCTGTAAAAGCCTTGGAGCTGCCCGCCAACCCCATTCACACAATGCCCGTTGCCCTGTGAGAGCTTCTGGACCGCCGTGTCGCTCCGCATGAAGAAGGCGGACCTCGTGGCTTGGGAAAAGCTGGCGCTTCTGCAGAGGAAGGGGACAAAAGGGCTGAGATGGGGGAGAGCTGGTCCTAGGATTCACCCAGATCTGCTCCCTCCATTTGTCACCTTCCCAACCCACATTGCCCAACCTCAGGGCAAGGGGAACATTTCAGACCCCTCCAAACATGCCCACAACCCATTTTATCCTGAAACACCTTCAAAATGCCTCTGTCACAGATGAGAGGTACGTGCACCCAGCTCCACGATAGTGCTATGGGCAAGAACAAGCCTTCTATCCAGACATAAATTGCTCCAAAAGGGTAATTTCTGCACCAGCTGACAGCAACCCAAGACACAACTGCAAAGACCGACCCCATCAGCATCGCCATCAGGTACCAGCTGCCCGTCCGCAGTGCAGGAGGGAGGCTTACTCTCACCTCTGCCTTGCAAAAGTGTTCGAGAGGGACTGGAAAAATTCCTGATGGGGATTATTTGAAAGCCTCCAGCCATGTCACCACCCTGCCCTCTTGCAGGGCAAGCCCTGGGGAGATGAGGGCAGTCCCCAGCTGGGATTTGGGGTTTGCAGTCCTGATCCGCAGGGGAGGAGGAATGAACCTCAGGGCTGAACTCAGATTTACAAAAGCCCTCGAGTACCCCAGGGTGAGCAGGGCAGCGTGGTCACTAGGTCTGTGCCTTGCTAACAATTCCTCGATTTGTATTGCAGTCATGCCTGGGGACATTACCCAGGACAGAAGGTGAGCACTGAGGATACCTCAGTCCTCTAACAACTGCTTGTTAGCGATCACTCCTCCACTGATTCTCTCCAAAATGTTTCATCTCCTGTTTTATCCCTCCTACTGCTTCCTCTTCCAATGCTCCGACGTTGCAGAAGATGATGAGCCCCATGGGCTTGGCTTTCTGCACCCGTAACCCCAGCAGATGACATTTTCTCAAGTCAGGGAACGTTTGAATTAGCCACTTGGGACTTTTCTCTCCTCCATTCTCAACCTCTGTCACTGCGAAGCAACTCCCCCATCCCACAAGACTTGGGGAGACGTGAGCATTGCTGTGGAAGCACTGGGACATGAGGGACACGAGCAGCAGAGCCGAGCATGGGGGATACCGATACCTTCCCCTGACCTGGCTGAAGCAGAGTGGAAGAAGAAAATACGTTAAAGCTCCAAAAAAGGGTTACCTTGCCATGAAGAGCTAATGCATATGCACTAGGAAAGGGGGAGAGGTAGCCTTGGGCTGGGTCTTTTTGCTCGCAGAGGTATAACCATGCATGGGTCAGGCTTTTGGGGACCATGTGCTCACAGCCAGAAAGGGCTCAGCCAGCCCCATTTCAACATCTCCCGGTGGAAGAGAGTCCTGCCCTGTATCAATCACCGCACTGGGAAAAAATGAAATGGTTATGGGGGGCAGTTTCCAGTTGCGGCAAATCGCTGGGGAAGTGCCAGTCCTATGGGAAAGGCTGGGAGATGCTGGTTTACACCACTCTGGTGGGGTTGATGCTCTGCAGGGACAACAGGGACTTTGTTTCATGGAGCCAGCACGAGATGGCGCTCAGAAATAGGGCTTATTTGGGGAAAAAACAAATGATGCTGTGACATGACAAATGAATCCCTGCTGCTTTTGGAGCTCAGTCTGCCCAGGAGACGTTTGGGGTCTGGCAGGGTCCTTTCGGTTGAGGACTTGAAACATCTCATGGGTTAATTATTCAACATCGCCCGCCAATTAGCTACTATTACCCTCATTTTATGGATGAGTAAAGTAAGAGCTCGGGAGCTGAAAGGGGAGGGATTCCCAGCAGTCCTGCAGCCTGGCCCCGTGCACTGGGCATTGATCAGGGCAATTATTTCTGGCCCAGTTGCAGAAGCCGCTGCTGGCCAGTTTACCTCTGCCCACCAAAGCATTGGTGCTTGCTCCCTTCTCCTCCGGGTCCCAGCCATGCTTGAGCTCTCGAAGGGTGGCTTTCAGGTATCCTCACAGCTGAAGTGTCAGAGGGCCTTTTTTTTAAACACTGTTCCATTAACTCCATCTGAAGTTAATTTTTCTGAGTCTTTTTCTGTTGCTGTTTTTTGGGGAGGGAAAGGCAGCTGCAGCAGGAAAGCCCAGCGGAGGCTGCAGCCCGGGCTCTGCTCTCACCCCACGCCAGCTGGGCTCCGACTGCCTCTCCCTCCTTGCCTCTCCTGTGAGCCACGTCAAAAAAAATCCTCGCTATTTAAGGCAACCGGCTGGGTCCAGAGGCAGAGAGCTGTAGCTTGCTCAAAAATACCACACCGTGCACCTTGGGCTGCCATGAAGCCCAGCGAGCTCTGGAAGGGATGAACAGCAGAGTGGTGCAAACCCTGCCTATCCCTCTGGTTGTGGTTTTTTTCTGGTTAAAGGCATGAAATAAGGCCCTGTCCACAGGATCACAAAGTGGCTGAGGTTGGAAGGGAACTCTGGAGGGCATCTGGTCTGATCCCCCTGCTTGAGCAGGGCCACCCAGAGC